GCTAACTACACCTTGATCTCATCGATGACCCAGAGGTTCAGATTGGCGATGCGCTTTGGTGCCGCCTTCACCTAAGCTGTGGGGACGCATGTTTGTTGGATGTCTTGTATCGCCCTCCGTCGGCTACTTTGAAAATGGACAACCGCCTAGCCTCCACAATGAAGACCATTCTCTCACAGACCTACAGCGAAATTCTTCTGGTTGGTGACTTCAATATTCATACCAAAGAAATCCCAGCCTGTGTCAAGGAACACTTCAAAATGGAAGTACAGGAGATAATTAGTGGACTACCAATCTACAATCACATCACATGTCCCACAAGATTCAGCACGGGAAACAAACCGGGTGTCCTGGATCTCGTATTCACCAATGAAGAGTTTATGATCGAAACGGTATCGATAGAGAGTCCTTTAGGCCGTAGTGCCCATGCAACGGTCATGTTCAATTACATCTGTTATGCAGAGTATTCCTCAGAAAACACAGAGGAGTGTCAGTTCATTACTGATTACGGCGCTCTAATCAAACTTATAAATGCTACAAAATGAGCATTTCTAGCAGAAGAATCCTCCAACGTCGCTTGGCCTGAATTGTGCCCCAATTCAACACGTTAGTAACTAGTGTTTTTAGGAAAAGGCCTTTGCGAGCGAAGACAGTAAAATCATTCATACGCAGCAGGACACTGAATTGTATCGTCACGAGGAATTTATTCTGGCGAAGATACAAGGAGTCACCAAGTGCCAAACATGGGAAGCCTACACTATCCAAAGGAATCAGTTCGCAAACGTTATACGCGAAGATGAAATAGAGCATCAACAGAATCTAGCTGAGAAATTCCTTTCAAACCCCAAGTTCCGGTAAAGACACGCTACCAAGCTCCGCAAAGTGCAGCGAGGAATTCCTGCCTTACCAATGTTATGTGGACTCGCACAAACTGCAACCCTATGTCAGCAATTCGCCCCGAACTTCCACAGAACGACATCGCCGCATACACTGTTCCCGCATTGTTCCCACCACCAGGACTTAGTCACATCACGTTTACAACTGTGGATGTTATGAAAGGGGCAATTGTCCTGCGGGAGCATACCTCTCCCGGCGTTGATAATATTCGTCCAAAGGCGTTGAAATTGGCTGCAGTAAACATGGCGCATCCACTTTTTAAGTTCTTCCAACGATGCATAGATGAGATGCGGGTGCCAACAATGTAAAAGCAGGGCATCGTCACTCCCATCCATGAGGGGGGAAGTCGTACAGATCCGGCCAACTATCGCCCGATAACACTACTTCCGGTGCTTTCCAAAATCATGGACGCGGTTGGTGCCGATGCGGTCATGAACTAAGAAGAACGCAACCTCATAGCACAAGAACAATATGGATTTCGCAAAACCGCTCTTACATTGCAAACCTGCTACTTGCCAGATCCAGTTAAACTGAGGTACTCGACAGCGACCTACGTGTTGATGCAGTATATCTAAACTTCTCAAAGGCGTTTGACCGTCTGAACCACCGTGTACTCCTTCACAAGCTGCAGTGGTGTGCAATTGGTAACTCAATCTGCTGTTGGATATGCAAATTCTTGCTTTATCGACATCTGAATGTAAGCATTCGCGGCGTCATCTCTGACCCAATCGAGGTTAAGTGCGCAGTGCCCCAGGGCTCAGTACTTGGTCCACGACTATTCCTGATGTACATAAACGATCCCGCGACAGTGATCACCACTAACTTCTTACTCTTCGCTGATGATCTCAAGATATGGCAAGCCATTCGAACAACCAGCGACGACGCAACAATTCAGGATGATACTGACAGGGTCTACGAATGGTCGACACCGAACCTGCTTCATTTCACCGCTACAAAGTGCAAGGCGTTGAGCATAGGCCATAATGCCACTTGCGTATACAGACTGGGGGATCAAACATTGCAGCGCACTTCAACGGAATGCGATCTAGGCGTGATAGTGCAGGAAGATCTGGGCTGTTAACATTAGGCCGGGAAAGCCTCTAAAAAGCTAACCAACACCTTGGAATTTTCAGAGGGCAATCGGGAGCTTTGATTCTTCCATCTTTTCTCAGATACTCAACGCCTACATTCGGCCTCATTCTGAGTACGTCATCCATACCTGGTAACCATGGCAAAAGCAAGACCTTACCGCTCTGGAACTGTCACAACGAAGGGCGACCAAGAACGTAAAGGGCCTGTTTTATCTCCCTTACCGATTGAGGCTGAAAACCTTCGGGGTCTACAGTAGACAATATCGACGCTTGCGTGACGACTTGATAAGGACTTCTGTGATCCTTGTCGTCACCTATTAAGGCTGAATCGCAATACCACACTCAGAGGACACCAGCTAAAGCTGGCCACACAATACAGCCGGTTGGAATGCCGTCGGAATTTCTTTTTCCTTCGTGTGTGTCAACACTGGAACGCTCTTCCCAAATACATTGTTTCTTCCCCACGCTAACGGTATTCAAAAGAAGTCTGGATGACTCTCTTATCCACTTACATTGCGCCATATAATCAGTGATGTCTATGTCAACCAAACATGAACAAACGGTGCTCATTCTCAGCTTAAGTGCTTCACTACTTACACGCTGCTGCTGTGGAATATCGTTTCGGATATACTACAACTGCATTCATCAATTACATCAGTCCAAGAAAGCGGCGCACGAGTAAGCGCTGTCGTTTCTTTTGTTTTTAAGATATACCTTGGAAGCCATATTATGCGCCTTTTGTGTTCTGCTATCCTAGTACGTAGCTCTCTTGTTATTTAGCCTGTGCGTGCACAGTCTTTGTAACTAGAGAGTCAGAAAATACGTAACTAGATACAGCCTCAAGGATACGTTTGATTAAAAAATCACTGCAACTGACATTTCACAAACCGCCTCAGGTGCCCACTATTAAGCTGTGCTTCCTTCCGAGTGGCTTTCCTAGGTTCCTCCTCTATGCGCAGGGTCTAGGCCCTGTGAAAGAGGGATGAAGCGATCCCAGTACGCTCATGCTTCGAGTGACCTGAAATGTAGTGGAGTACTCCAACTATGTTCATCAGATTACGAAATATCGTTGTTTTAAGACTACCCCATTTCTGTGAACTAAGCGGTCCAACAATGGCAACATACCACTGCAAGATGCCGGCTCCATATTGCAATTTATAGTCGCAGCAAGAGGGATCAAATAAGTTTGAAACTCATCATTTTATGCAGTTTTATGGTCACAACTGTGTCATCCACTTAGCTACACCATAGTTTCGGTGAGCTACTAGTTTCAGTCGGCGCTCTCAATTCAACATCATCTATGTACAAATATGCAACTGTGGTGGATATTGGCGACCACATGGTAGGAACCTTTTCCCGAGTACATAAACTCGATTGGAACTTGTAGTAAGACTTGTTAAGGCACAATGTCATTTAGTAAATTATTTTGTCTACGGTAAGCTTCGTCATCTATTGGAAGGTTTTGCTCCCAGTCAGTGTCGTGCTGTCCCCACGCGTCCCATGTTAGCACGACGCTAATGTGATAGTTAATGTCGGAACTGATCATTGTTTCATTTGACTCGATCGTAAGATACGATACCCTTTATGGCTAACTCATAAGAGATCTTTATGAACGTATTCGTTAGCCCTGTCAACGACTGCAATAGGCTAGCCAAATCTGTAGCTAGTCCATGTGTCGGGGAACATATGCCATCTAGGAAAGGTAGTATGTACAAGTTATAGAATTTCACTTTTTTTGAACACGCCAGCAAGGTACCCGCTCGAAACCTGTCACAACTGGTTCGGAAAGACAAACGGAGCATTCTGGAAAATTGTACTCTACTGCATGGCGATAGGGTTAAGATCTCAAATCGCAGGCTCCGTAGTCGGCTACATCCTTCTTAGATATTTCCAAACAGGAATCGTTAGTAAAAATGACGAGAATTGGTATATGTTGTTAACAATCGATGCCTTTGTTAGCAGGCTTACATGCGTATTACAATGCTGAGTGCTACAACGCAATACTCTGAATGTACAAGCACTAGTTGGTTGACCCATTTGGAATTTGTTGGATCTGCAAGAGTTGTTTTTTGTGGTCCGCGTGAAATGCCTCAGGACAATGCAGCGTCTGATTGCTTGAATCTGAGCTGTATGTGTGTTGTTATCAGTTTCAAGAATTGTGCTTTAAATGTCAACGGCCGGAGTGGTTAGTATTAGTTAGCGTGACAAATAAGCCTAGCATAGCATGCATAAAGGAAACACAATGGCGACTAGGGCCTAATGTACGACCAGGCAAGCAAGAGCTTACGTTACCTCAAATCTGCGTAATGGTGTACGAAGGATCCACAGGTTTGAAACATACAAGTGACACTGCGTACAATACATACAATTCATTAGTATAGTCAAGGAATGATGATCGCACATCTCGGTGAATGCATAGCAACCTTTCACATCCACTTAATTGTGACAGGCGATAAGGTTGGTCCATCAGGCTATTTCAGATAAGTTTAATAAGATAGTGAAAGATCAGATAGGAACTTGTTTCACCATAAGAAAATGCTATTAAGGAGCAAGTGACCATTGGTGATTCGCTAAGAATCTCAGGAATTTTTTTACGTCTAAATTACTGTTACCGTTAAGTGAGGACGAGTGAGGTGGTCAAATAGTCGTATGGCTGCTCAGGTAAGTAAATTCACTTGAATGAAGTAAATGCGGTAGATGGAAGAGCGTATGATTCACCTGAGAGCGATGCTTAGTATAGTTGATATAACAATAACAATAGCGAACATTGTTCTGTGGGGCGGAAGCGCGGGAGAATAAAGGTGACATTTGGTATACTAGAATGATGACGGAAGTTTCCAATGTCACGAAAAAGGTAACACCTAGCAAGAAACCATGATGGAACGCTTCTTCATCGAATTTTGTTTTATTTTCTTTAAGAAACTTTGTTTAAAATAAAAGGTTAGGGACAGCAAGGCATAGAGAAGACAACGGATTCGAGGTAAATTACATCATCGATGGGTTTTAACTTACATCATTTTCTGATGCAATTCCATAACGCGCATAAGATAGGGGTCCGGGGCAGCTTGAAGCAAATGGTGTTTCCGTAGATAAGCGAACGATTTCCCCTCTGTTTCGGTATAGTCACCGAGTTCAGCTGAAGGAATAATCATGATGGCAAGAGGCAGATCTCGAAAAGACGGGCGGTATCAATCCGTGAATTAAAGTAAATTAACAGAATACATATCAAAACGCAGGTCCTTCAGATATTAAGCGGTGCTATCACACTAGATGCTTATGGTTTAATGGTTTCACAGAATAATGAACAATGAATTTATACGGGTTAAGAAACACTGCCTTACAAGCCTTGTTAGGTGGTCTGGTAGGTCATCGAAAACCGTTAGGAAAAAATGCAGTTGATAGTGTTACCGTCAGAAGAGTGGACTTATCGTTCTTGATACAATAGCCTTGCACTCCGAGTAGCTCAGCGGATCCAGTAAGTGACAGATAATATATCCAAAATATTTCCCAGGAGTTTGAAAAAGTGTGAGGACTAAGTAAGAAAGTGTGAAGTGTCTGAGTGTGTTATCCATCCGGCTTTTAAAAGTGGCTAGTGTGGGTGCAAGAATGACCGATGCAAGGAGAGCGTTTCACAGGTGACGCGCGAATAGAAACACTTTCCTACGACACTCCAAATGGTTGTATTGTACTGCTAGTTTCAAGGGGTGACCTCTCAAGTTTGGTTAACTGCTGAGTTGCATTACAGTGCGATATACATGATCTGGATTGTGTAAAATCCATGATACAATTCTTAATAATCAGATGCTATTTCTGGGTTTTAGGAAAGTTTAGCTCATTACCGAGAATAAGGTAAACTGAAGAAAAGAAAAACAAGGTTCTTTTATTGATCAGTGGTTTTCTAGAAATTTGATGTTCAGTTTAGATGATAGTCAACGGAAACGGTCATTTCTTAGCTAGTTCCGAAAGTGCCTGTCGGAACCCTACCATGCAAATATGTGTTGTTACGTACTGACTAACAAATAAAGACATGCGTAACCGATTACTCGACTTAATCGTGCGTTTTGTCCCAATTTCTTAACGACTTAGTTTTAATGATCCTGCACATGCCAGCCCATATCACAACTGATCAGCATGTAAAGCGATGTACCGTAAAAATAGCAATCATTTCACTTCTCCATGTTAAATTTGATGGACTAATGATCATCACACTAACAAATAAGGTGTTCTGAAGCAACATGGATAAGAGACTAATCAGAAGTAGCCGTGGTAAAAACAGATCAAGTATGCCTTAGCAATTCATCAAACTACCGCACTGAATCAGCAAAGGTGACTAAAATATCGGTGAACGGGAACCAGGAAGCATGATAAAACTGTTTGCTTCGTTCACTCACACTGAACAATGAAGCTTGCCAACAGCAAACTGGTGTTGCGATTGCTGTGTAGAATGCCCCGAAAAAAATCCCGTTTGATTTGCAGAGCGAACAGATATCTAAAAGGCAAACGTACTTGCAGCTGTTCGTCGGCATTTTATTGGCAATTTTAAGTGCATCTCAATAAAACAGTCGACCGACACGTTCACTGCCAAACCTAAGTATTGAAACGGTGCAAATAGGGTCCTTTTATGCAATTACAATCCATCGGCTGGAATGCTACAAACATACTGTAAAGTTGTTGCTTCGTTTGTATAGTGTGGATGAAACCAACAAAAAATTACAAAGTATAGAGGGTAGAATTGCAAGGCATTCGATACAAACACAAGGATAAGCTGCATTCGTCGAGCTGACAATCGTAATCATAGCATTAATTTATCCATTCAGATGGTTTCAATATGAATGATGAATTCAAATCATAGATGCCACAATTGACGAATTACCGGGGACTGAAAGAAAAAGGACGTACTACTGTTTGGTTTTAAGTTACAGCTTGCCTTCCCTCGGATTCTTATGAGAGCAATAAACTCCAAACAGCAGTGCAGGTGTCCAAAACAGAGGCTGTGACAGTACATCCTTCTTCGAACGCAACTAAGTGCTGTTGTCGAACAAACCATCGCTCATGGAAACTGAAAGCCTTCAAATACATTAACGATATTGTATCTGAGAGCGCTAATCATAGATTCCACATGTGTCCAAGTGTCTAATACTATGGATTCGAAAAATAACCCTACTGTTAGTGAACGTATGACGCGCTGATATGATGCATATACATCACGATAGATATCGGTAATGTGAATAATTTGGTATCCGAGATGGTAATGTGGTATACAAACCAACCTTGCAAAATCATCCAATAGCAGGTTTGGATGGGGAATGTAATATTTCACGGAGAAGAAAAATTCCAGCGATGTTCTGTTCAGGCTTCTAGCCAACTTCAAAAGCGATTGGCTACGGTTCAACCATCGCTGCATGGAAGTGGAATGGAGACTGAGGGATAGGTTCCTTTTTGAACTTTTCATAAACAAGAACGGTTAGATATTCAGTAAGCAAAACTAAATTACTAAATACTCAACACCAACTTGAAAGGAAAAGCAATTCTGATAGTGCTAGTTGCGTGATACATCATAAGGAGTCCACTGGCATGATAAAACTTGAGGAATTTACCTCTCAATGCTAAACTAACAGGTTTTCATGAGTGAGAGTATTGGGATGTAGCGTTTTTGAGTATATCGCGGCCTCTTACAAGTCAGGCAGCCTAATGGAGTGAAGGATTCACCCCACTGACAAGCTTCAAAAAGATGAGACGATTATAGGCAATCTGGTTTGCAAGAACCTGCGATGACCACAACAAAAAGCTAACAGATTGGTTAACTGTAAGTTCACATAGCCTAGAGCTCCTCGGTGTCTAAATTTCAAGAACACAGCGTCCGTTTAATCGGGATTTCAGAGGTGGAATTGGTTAAACAAGGGAAATGAAAATTGAACCGATGCGACATGGGTTTGAAAACCAGGATATCTCCATTCATATATGCTGTAGTCGACCGTTTTAAGCGTACCGTTGGTGGATATGTTGGATGTGAATATTTTGACAGCAAATAATTGTTACGGAAATGATAAAAAGGTACGAAAAAATTATGCCTTTGTTATCCGCTATTCCATCAATTTCACTAAGTTGAGATGGAATTTCAACGCAATACGATTCTGAGGCACTGGGTACAGTACACAAGGTCTCATACGTCCTCCGCTCAGCTAAAATAGAAGCAGGATAATAACATTCAGTAGAAGGAAATAACAATAGTACAATAGAAGAAAAGTTTCAGTTGTCACCCGAGACGCGTTATTTTGTCGTATGAAATAAGTAGGCTTGATGGAGGTGTTCCGTTGTTGCTCCTCCCGATACTGACACACCATGACCGGTTTCGTTCTCTTTTGAACTCAGCAGATGGAGATTGCCTGAGCTGGGGTGGAAGTCGGGGCGTAGTAGTTAACTGCTGTCGCCTTGATCACTATGTCACTAAGACCCGTGAGCTGCGCTTGGGATAGCAATAAAATAGAAGTTTGATTTGGAATACCCGCCGTGTGGCTGGATTGCGACACGCAATCTCTATTGAGACCTCGGTTCATTTTGGCATTGCCCTCGGTCTTTCCGATCACAAGGACCGTATTCGAAATGGTGGTGTTTTGGGATTTCTCCTCCCAACATTAACACCACAGGACCAACGGTTTCGCCCTGGTTTGGACTCATCATATGGAGATAGCCTGAGCTGGGGTGGAACTCGGGGCCAAGTGGTTAACAGCTTAATGTTGAAACCTGTTTATTCCATTACTTAATCTCACATAATCACTTTGACCAGTGACTCGTTGCGGGCTCACGGTACACGGACACACCGGTAAGTCAGACAACCAACGCTGGTGAATAGTTCATTTGACGTGTGAACCTTATACGCTTTTCTTTCTATTTCATCTTTATATCATCTTTGAAGTGTACCGTATCCCGTGACTAAATTAACTAGCGCGTATTATCCACCTGTACATTACTGAACTGTACATCGCAGCTGCTGCTGTCCAAACAGGAGATGCAGTTCATAGGCTAGTCGGTAATCGTGTAAGTGTACTTTACCCGTGCGCAACCACTCGCTGTAATTGTTGCTCAAATTATATGCATCCACCAATCTTATACTTCCCTTCACGACTTGTTATGCACCGCTTGTCAGGTACTGCGCTACTCATTAATACTTTTTTCGTGAGTGCTTCTTCTGGACGACATTAAACACATCTACGCTGCAGTCCATTCCGTAGCATCGTTAGGGAGATAGGAGTCAATTATCGTTGCAAGGTTATATGAAACTTCTTATGAAAACCTGAGTGTGAAAGGAACTACATTTGATATTGTAAGACAATATGCTAACACTTTGAATTTACTCAATAGAACATAATTGGACTACTTTCGTTGGGTCTTCTACCTCACTGAGAATACACATGCCATTAGTATTTTTTTAAAGAGATGCATATTTCATTACTGTATGGGCTAAGCCGGCTGTATTGAGGGGAGTACGTTCAGCTATTAAGATAAATTGAAGATCCAGTGAAGCAGTTACCGATGGTATACCGTTGTATTAGATTGTGTCATCGATGATATCCGCGTTACCTTACTAGACGTTGATGGTAACGTGCTAAAACGAGCCCTTCTTAGGACTTATGGAATAATGTGCAATACACAGATTTACAAAACCCCCGTAATTATTCAGTGGCACACTGTATCCGACCGTAATCAGCACAGAAGGTAAGATATATTGGTCAAATGCGTGAAATGTAAACGCAGTAATGCAATAAATCTGACGAGCAATTTTTTCAAATGCTGCATTTTGAATTTATTCAAACTGACACATAAAGACAGCGAGCGGTTTCACAAGATGCTAGTGGATAAACCACATTTATATAATAACCTGGTATTATTGACTCAAAAACTTGCTTATCGCCAATATTGATCGAAGCAGCAAAAGGCATACTGCATTTGAAGACACACTCGAAAAAAGTATGGGAGATGTATGCAAGCGGGAACAATGTGTGACCAAACCACATGGATTTAAGAGCCGATAACTGGTCAAACGGAATTTGGAATGTTATTTTTAAGTCAAAGACAGTTTTCGATTGCTTATTGTTGAGGTTATCATCTGTCACCAAATGCATAGTCATTAACGAGACGAATGATGTAAAAATCATTTTGTCTTTGATTTACATAAAACTCGAGTTGAAACGTCCAAATTCTTAGCAATTTTCAGGTTAAACCGGTGCTATTTTTAAGCTAGGATTCCTTGCTTATGACCGAGACACACCGCGACTTTCAATTGCCGGATTTCCTCGAAACCTCTTTCACTATGAGCAACGAGCGAACAAGGTAACGCTGCATTCACTCAGACGAATATTCGGGCAAACAAGGTCACGTAGTAACCGAGGTTAACAAAGTTCATCCAACTTCAATGAAAAGTGGTAATATTCTGCTTGGGAACGCAGTGCTGAAGCGGTATCTATGTTCTTTATCATGGAAGCAAAGATAATTCGTTGTACGTTTTTGTTTAACTCACGTGGTTACTTTCTATGTCCAAGTATGCCAGACCAAAATACTTCGAATCGAAATTTCCGAGTTTCTCAAACACCAGTCGGTACAGATGCTGGCCATCATTGTCCGCCTAAAGAAAAGTTATTAAGATATATCAGCCAACAAACAAGCACTTATTGTTAGATGAAATAGACCTTTTCATCAAAAGCAATGGGTATATTATTATTTGAGTTGAACTTATCAAGATCCATCAGTTCGAATTCCACCGCATGTCTGTATGGTGGAACCATTTAGGTGTTTGAAAAATACGATCGTAGTCATATTTTCGGAGTCCATTTCTAAGTATATCACTACCCATCGTGTAGATCTAGGTCATCGACATCACGAACGCCGTGTTGGAGATTATCGTTCACATTTAAGATAACAAGTTTTCCAGTTACTCAGAAAGCTGACAGTGGATTGCGTTACAAGGTAGCAGGTTAAATTCCCGATTGTTCTGTTTATTGTTAGTTTACCTTAGGAAGGCCTTCAGCACAAATGGTATCGAGAATGAGGCTTTAGTACGAACAGTCTTTATTGCTAACGACCAACGGGTTCACAAGCTAGCATGCACGCGCGCACACACAAAAAATGTTTCCAGCCCACCACAAAGCATAAATTGTCCTTTCGCTCGGCATCACATGCATGCGCCGACTTCAGCTAACCCTATGGGTCCCTGTGCTATGATTTGCCCTAATATCTTCGCTTCCGTTTGTCGTGTTCTAATGCTTGTCCGTTCTAATGCTTTTAACTTGCTTGACAGGACTTTCGTCGCTTCCCATGGGGTTATTCCTGGAGGCGTGGCCAAAGGCGTACCATTCCGGAAAACCGGGCTCTATCCCATTACGTTCCACGTTCTTCTCAGCCTGAGCCAGGAATTTTTGGTCGCATGTAGACCATTTCCGTTTTATTTTGTTGGCCTCGAGTATTTTGTCGACTTTCATCCATGGTGTACTCGTTTGTTTTCCTCATCCTTAGTTTTAGTGGCTTGTCATTTCCACCTGCGATCCTTGCCTTCTGCGCCACCATAATGTTTTTACGAATAAAGTAATCGTGGATTAGTTTTAATTATTTTCTTTGGATGATACGTTCCGGCCCAATACAGACTGCAAAACTTGGAATATGCCTGACCGTCTAAACAAGCCGTCATTTCAGAGCATAGTTTTCTTGGAAACATTGTGCAGCGGGTCGTATCTACATTAGTCAGACTTATGTTAGCCCCTTTGAAAGTGTAATCTTATTAGTTGGCTGCAATGTTTTATTAATTCTACCGAAAGACTGAGTGAATCAGGTGAACGGAAATCGCCCAGTGTTTATTCTTCAATTCTTTACATCAGGATGGTGCAATTTAGTAGAGAGCTGGCAAAGTGCACTGAACTGATCAAGTTTCATCTACCAGCAATACGTGTAACTCTTGTGTTCCTGTCGAGCTGGGTGCACAGTTCACAAAACAAACTATAAAACAAAGTTTATCTACGATAAGCGGGTTGGACAAGTATCTTGCACTCCTTGAAATTCTTGTTGATAACTAGCGCACTAATTTTGAGCTAAAGCAGTTACGGAGTAGCTTCAGCAATGTGGTCATATTGAATATGCAGTAAATTAAAATCGACCCATTACTTTTGTCTGCCGTGTTAGACTTCCCTTTTCTTCTGAAACACTTACTTGATTACGTACCGTGGTCAGGGCTGGTAATCAATAGTTCCATAATATGGTGACTCCGATATGTAAGCGCGAAATTTAACTTTTACGCCGTATATTTTGGGTGATTTCGTTAGCTTTCCTCGATATTCCGGGTGAATTTATGTGCTAGTTCTTTCCATTTGTTAGATTAATCTATTTTTTTACCTTTGATCTTCGCCATGCATAGCCGGCATCTAGCAAATGAGTCGTTTCACTGCAAAGGCAAGCTAAGTTTGGATGTTGTGAATTCCGCGGAACGCAGACCAAGTAGGAGCATTCAGACGGACGAGACCTTCCTCTATTGGTGGTGACGCTGGTTCAGGACGTCTTACGTTGCTCGACGAAAAAGGTAAAGTATGGAACGATGGCGCAAGCCAACACAAAAGACGCGGTGTTCGAATGGCTTCCACAGCAGAAAACCAGTAGCATCGCATCGTAATCGCGGCGATAGGAAACGAGTGTCACACTTATCTTGTGTCGTCGAACCAAATTGACTCTCACGAAGAAGAAATTACATTAAATTGCAGTACGTTAACTGCAATGGAAGCTACAAAACAGAATACGCCACTATAGGACGCTGGCCGTGTTTTGGCTACCGTACATCGCAGCTAGTTTGTGCATACGTCAAGTAGCTCTGGTTAAACACAAAGTGCGATATTTCCTCGATAAGTTCGCAGCTGGATAGTACCAAACACTTCGACGAATGGTTGGTATCGCCGCGGAAACTGCGAAATTCTAGAATTCTATAGACACGACTCAGCCGCGGCGGGCAAACCAAGTAGCCCGCAGGTTAACAAAATCAACGCTCCCAGCAGTAACAAAACTGATCGTCTGTTCTACGTTAAGGAACCACGTTCGTACCTTAATTTCCAACCAATAAGTGAGCGTCACACCTGCGAACACAAATGACAATCACTCAAAGCTCATACACAATCTGTTTGAGATTAACTGTTTGTCGATAGATTTATACGGCCAGCGCATGTTGAAGCTGGACCAAAGTCTCTATCAAGATTTTCGCTGGACATTTACGCTAGTGTTTATATCCATCGTAGTTAGCGTTTTGGACTGTTTCCGTCATCTTAAACTACCTGTTGATTCTGGTTACGCCCTGCGCTTAAACCACCGTACTAATCCAGGTGTTAAGGGCCTCCTCTCAGACGCCCGATAATCAGTCTCGTATTGCAAAGCACAGACGCATATCCAGACTATATGAGCATGCCTACTAAATACCCGAGATTAGTATGACCACTAACCACTGTAGAGGCGGCTCGTCACATAGTCCCGCGTGGCCAGTTCCTTAATGCACTGGCCACCGCAGAGGATAATCAACGGTGCCCTATCTGCGGCATCGAGCAGGGTAGATAGGAGCTTGGATTCTCCTGCTCAAGCCTTTGCATCTTCTTATTCCCACTCTTACGCCTTTTCTACCTTACCGTCCTGTTCCAGCTTCAATTTTATCCCTCCTGTTTTCAACCCCCCAATTCTTAGCCCTCCCCCACCTTGCTTTGCTGGGCTTTTACCTACTAGTTACCACATACATGTAAACGCGGAGCGTCATTCCTGTCCTGTCGACAAGCCCACGCCCAACCAAGCGGCCAATCCCAGTGCATCGACTTCCATTTGGAGTCCTCGATCATCCTTCAGATTGGCAATCCTCAATGTGCGCACATTACTACAGATCGGTCAACAGGCAGCACTTGCCCGAACAGTAGAGACCATCTAGATCGATATCTGCTGCTTATCAGAGATCCGCCTGCAAGACTCGACCTCTGTGCTCATTTTGCAATCCCCTTCAGGTGATACCAGCAGCACTTTCTCATTGCGCCTATCCAGTGACGATGCAGCTTCGAGCACCGGCCAAGCTGGTGCTGGTATTGTCCTCAGTCCCCGGGCTGGAGCTGCTCTGTTTGACTGGATTCCAAGCGGTAGCCGGTTGTGTGCGGTGCGATTGACTGGCTCGTTCAAAGCTTCGAAGTCGCAAGAGACTAATAGGTGTCTATTCGTCATCGCTGCCTATGCACCCACAAACTCTAGCAGTGATTCGCTAAAAGACGACTTCTATCACCAATTGAAGGAGCTCCTTCGACATAGAAGAAGCTCGGACGCTGTTGTGCTGACTGGGGATCTGAACGCTTGGAAAATTGGCCACTGATGAGCTGCATCTGGGCGAAAACATGGTGTAGGCTCCCATAATGATAACGGTGAGCAATTAGTTCATTTCTGTGAGGATGCCCGCTTATTCCTTGCGAGCACTAATTTCCGACATAGCACTCGCCGGAGGGTGACTTCTCGACCAGCAGCCTCGAACCAGCTATGGACGCGAATCGATCACATTGCTTTGCACCCTCGAAGTACAAAGCGTTCCTCCAAGATTGCTCTGGATTGGCTCCTTCCCTGACCCTTGGTGGGGATCACCTAGAAGTCGTTCAAAAATTCAAATACCTGGCAAGTTGTATCAGCACCCGTGGGATTGAAGATGAGATCATGAATCGTATAGGAAAAGCTAGAGGCGCTTTTGCTAACCTTCGCCATTTATGGCACCGGCGCGACATCACTCTCGTCCTGGAGGGTAGAGTGTACAATGCTGTACTGTACGGTCGTGAAACCTGGCCCCTTAGATCAGCGGAAATAAAGAGGCTAGTTACGTTCCACCACCGGTGCCTTCGCAATTTAGCTCACATCTGGTGGGAACCAAGAGTTAGCAATGAGCGTGTTCGACAACTTGTTTACGGCACAGGAAAAGGAAATGAACCGATCAGCACCGTTATTTCACGCATCAGTCTCCGATGGCTCAGCCACGTGTTAAGCATGCCAGCCCACCGACTCCTCCGACGTGCTTTGTTTGCGCACCGGAGTGTGGATGGAAGAAGAGGAGAGGCGGACAAGCGATGACTTGGTCGAGAGGAATGAAGACCCTCAGTTTGAAGCTGGCCCCGGTTGGAACGTCTCGGCTCCCTGGTTGGGGTCCGAAAGACGATGAACACGTTTGGCTGGATACACTTGCTGACATGGCTAGGATCCGACCTCAGTGGCGTTCGTACTGTGAGTTTCTTTGTCCCACCCCTCCCTCTTAGCCTCCCTCTTCAACCACGATTTAAGTATTTTGCATTTTATAATTTTGCATAGTAAATTATACTTTTTTTGCTGCATAGTAGCCGGCAGGTAGCTTGCCGGAATGATGCCCATCCGTTACCGGTAGGTCAGCTGGCTTGCACCTGTAGCATCTTATTTGCTTTTACTTTTAGTTGTTGCGGCTCAGTAGCTGAGGTGTTTCCCACCTCTAGCTAACGTGTATATTGTGTGCGGGTGTGACCAGCCAGTAAGTACCCTACCGAGACTACTCGCCACGAGACTACCCGTACGAGTTGAATTCGACCACTTGGCTCAGTTGGTATAGCCAAACTAACC